CGCCGCGGCCAAGGGACGGCTGCTCAAAACCGAGGGACAGCGGGGGGAGCCTGGACCACTGCGGGTGCCCGGCCGCTTCTGCAAACTGCTGCCCGCCCCCGGGGCTGAGCTGCCGAGGGTGTCCAGCAAGCGCCTTTCGCCCAGCAAACGCATGTGTTAAGCTCTCCTGAATAAAGCCAACTCAAGTGGACAAAAACGGGCAGCATCAGAATAAACCCAGCCTACCAGTTGCAGAAAATGCAGTTACTTTAAGAACGCCGAGCCCGCCTCTTCCTTCTGTCGCTCGTGGTATAATAATACATCTGTCCGAAAAAAAGAATTAAAAAAAAGAAGAAGAAGAATCGCAGCCGTACAGCACCCAGGCAGGAAACCCTGCTAGAACAGAGAGAACATGAAAACGGACTCCGAACTTCAGCATGAAGGAGACTCCCTGGGTTACTTTTAGGAGGGATAGCTTGATGTCACATTATTTTACGGGATTCAGCCTGAATGAGGTAGTAATCAACAGCGGAGAGGGAAGTAGCACTAATTGCATTAGAAGAGCTTTCCTTGCAGGTTCTTTTCAAACTCACGGTGCTATCAAGCGACACCGACAATACACTGACTGAGGACCTGTCTCGGAACAGCTACCCATTCAGACGCTATCAATTTGCCCTAAGGAAACAAATTATTTGAGCTTATTTGATTTTGAGGATAATAATGACTGGAGCTAGTTTTCTTGTTGACATTTTTAATTTAAATAAATCAAAGTAAAAAATATTTTATCATGATATATAGACCTAGAAAGACTATTTCTCTAGAAACTGCTAATTTCAACTTGCTGGTACAGCAAACATTGGCAAGAGCTATATATTTTCCCTTCTGTAGTCAATTTTAAATTCTATGAAACATTATTTCGGGTAGGAAAATCTGTCAAGTGAAGGGTTAATCATAATAATACACTAACCGAAATCCTCCTACCTTACTCTTACCTCACTGAGGAATTATCGCTGCAAGAGAACAGAGAGCTCTGAGACCTCTTCTCCCTCCCCCTTCTACAAATGGCTATTAAAGTAGCTCAATTTTTAAAATCAATTTTATATGAGTAAATTTGTACCCACACAAAAAAGTCCTTAATTATGAGGAAAAAATAATGAATTGCTTTAATTTTTTCTCCATTAAGAAGGCACATTAATTGAATTAGTAGTGTTGTTACACATCACCTGTCTGCCCCTAAATTAACATCGCTATTGCTCGTTCCGTATTTATTCATGATGCAGGGATAAAAAGAAATCAGATCACTAAAATCCATGCCATGATAACATACATACACGCACATACTTAGCATAATCATGACTGAGAAATGCTGACTTGGAAGTGTGTGTCTAATTGAGAAGGTAATTTAGATCTCTTAAATAATTCCATCACTTTGACTTTGAAATGACTAGAGATAGGGAATATCTAAATCCGGATGCTAAAAAAAAAACTTCTGGAATAACTTTCCATGCATTGCCTTGAAAGCAGGCAATAGAAATGGGTTTTGGAAGAGTTCAGCACAGTGCATCTGACAATTCAGGCAGAATTTCCCCCAAAATGACTTCCCGTAATGCCCTGTCACTACCCTGCAAGAACAGGTGAAGGCTGCAGGGGATGGTGGGGACTGGAAAAAGCACTTGCTCCACTGGGTCTGAAAACTGCAGGTTCCCCAAGGTTTTAAATAAGATGATTGTGATTTTTTAAAAAACTTGAAAGCCTTTTGCCATCACTAGACATACAGTAATTTGCAATATCAAATACAATAATAGTACAGATAAGCATGTGACAGCAAAAGGATTCATAAATGCAGGGGTGTCCATAGCAAAGTAGCAACATTGTAAAATACAAACAACCTTGTGTTGGGCAAATATTAAAACTCACTGAACTGTAATTTTAAACAGTCATACACAAGAAATGGCCCTTATTTTGTCTAGACTACAAAAAGGCCAGGGTGATTAGCAAAGATGTCCGAATAAGGAATTTGCAATTCGATTCATTACAAGAATGGAAATTTATATTAATTTTGAGATATAAAAATATATAAATTCAAAATACATAATACGTAGCGCTTCTGACAACTGAACAGGTCTCACCTCTGCCCCCTGCCATCTACCACCTCATGATGAACAAAAAACCAAGCTAATTTGCTCCAGCTGAACACCCCTGCTGCCTGTTGAAACAAGTGGGATTGTCACATTAACAATAGCTTCATTTATAAACAATACATTTAGGGAAAGCTTTTAAATACAGCAATCTGTGAACCATTGGTAAGCAATAAAAACAATATGCGCTCGGAGTAGCGTGGTTTCTCCTTGCTTTACAGGGTGCTGTTTAGAGGACTATGTCTTTTAGTCTCTTCACTCCTGGCGAGTCTTTTTCTCTACATTCTTGCAGAAGTGGGTTAATCTCATGCATGATATTTTCGCTGTCCGCCCCCCTGGGCTCTGCCTCCGTGGGCCGGGAAGGGCCAGTGTTCACAAACGGCTCCAGGTCACGACTTCCCGGGCAGTGCATGATGTTGTATGATGCTGAGGGTTTGCTAGACAAGGGGCTCTTCAGATGCAAGGGCGAAGTGACGGGGCTCACGGCTTCGCAGCCGTTCCCGGCCTCGCGGACCGCGCCGTTCACCTTGGGGCTGCAGACGGGCAGATCCACTGTTCTTTTGCCTTTCGGGTTGCCGGCCCGCTCGTCGGCGAGGGGCTCGCTCCCTTCTTTGCCAAACGTTGCAAAAGTCCTTTTTGTGCTACAGTCTTCGTAAGGCTCTGTGTCCACAGTGGTCGCCTCTATGGAGAGGGCGATGACGTTCCTCCCGTGCTCGGGGGACTTGGCACGGCTGGGGACGGAGTTTCGGGGCATCCAGCACCTGTCCGAGTGACCCAGGATGCGGCACTCTTCCCTGCAATGAAATCCTTCGCTCTGATCTGCGTGAAGAAAACACAAGGACTCGTGAAACGGGTGACCCTGTCTTTCCGGAAGCCGTCCCTGCAGAAAGCGGCCCCGAAGCCGCGGTGCCGGGCTGGGCGCCAAGGACGGGCGCGCCGGCCGTCCTCGCGCCGCGGTGCACGCGCGCGGCCTCCCCAGGAGGAGAAACGGTTTGTAGAGCCAGGCTTTACCCGTTATTCCTACCTAAACATTAGTGATTTTACAGCAAACAGCAATCATTTTTAAAGCGACACTTGGAAGAGGGATTTTTACTGCCATTTTTCTGCTATTCCAGAGACTGGAGTTCAATTTCCAACAGGTTGTGTGTCATCTGCTTTTTGCTGCTGCTGACAGACCGAAAACCTAGGGGAAAACAAGTTACGATTGGAAATAAATTAAAACAAGGTTTGTCCCACGTGTCAAGCTGCTTAGAGTCAGCAGTTTTTGATTTTGGTAACCAACGTGAAAAGCCAGCACGTTTTAAACTTGGTTTGACGTGACATTTAAGCTTGGGTTTTCGGAGGGGGGAGGAAGGGAGCAGAGGGAGGACAGTGTTTCTTTTCTGTTGGTCTGTTTTTACTTTTTGCTTAATCCCCACAGGCCTCCCACACAACAGCGGCTTTATAAATCTCCAAGACGGCCTGCTCCACTGAAGATTAAATGTGTCATTCCCAGCTGTGTGATCTTTATTCACCCGAGAGTTATAAAGATCCCTTCTCTGCCATCTGACTCCGAACTTGGGGCTGTCCCAAGACCACTCTCCGGCGCTGAAATATGGAAGAGTAGTTTACCCTTTCCAGGGACCTTTCGTCCCCAGGTCTCACGGCTCTCGAGCGGCACGGCGCTGGCCCAGGCAGGGCTGGCAGCGGGGACGAGCGCAGGGGCTGCTCCTCCGGCCAGTGGCTCAGCTGAAAGCGCTCCTCCGCTCCAGGAGCCCAAATCCTCCGAGCAGCCCTCCTCCGCGGGGACGCAGCCCTGAGCGCTCCCAGGGCACCTGCACCCAATTCCGATGGCCAACTGTCCTTCATTGACTGCACCGCTCTCTCGTGGGCTTGAGAAACGTTATCCCCCTCGTCACGGATGGACGAGCTGGGGCCCAGGGAAGCGGACAGGCTAGACCAAGGGCAAAGCTGGAAATCAAATCCAGAAGTCTCAGCTCTCCCAGCCTTTGCGGAGCACCAGACCATGCCTTCCCACTGAACCATCACACCCCCCGGCTCCTTTTCAATCCCAGCTTATGCCTTCAGCTTTTCCTCCATTTGATAAGAATTTGTAATTGCAGATAGCCCAGTAAACCCTCATAAAGCACAAGCTTTTCATACACAAAGGTGTAACTCATTCCTACCGTAACTTATACACCAGCACAGCAGCGTTAAGAATTAATGCTAATAACAATAAAAGAATGCATTTGGTCCTTGTCGGTTTGATAGATTGAACCTCGCAAAGGTGCAGACTCAGCCTTGGTTCCCTTCCTGTCCATTTGAAAACAGTTCATTTTGATGCTTTGTACATCTGTGTATATAACCTGAGCTTTTCAGATACATTGGTATTTCCACCACATTCTAGCACTAGGGCGGCTGATAAAAATTCTCAGCACATAACACAATGCACCAAAATATGAGCAGCTTAACACTTACAGAGAATAAACGAGTAAAAGGCAGACCTCAAAAAAAAAAAAAGGATTTTTTTTAAAGGAGAAGCAGCCAATTAATTGAAAACCTATGGGTAAAACATAAGTTATTTCTCTACATCAGAGCAGCCACCTGGTTGTGTGAAGCACAATGCTGGGTGGCTGTGTAGGAGGTCTGGGTTTCAGTAGTCTACAGCAGTTTTAGAGAGTGATGCTCTGAGCCTTACATGCAGAACAACCTGCACCAAGATCTAAAAGCCAATGCTCTTATACTTTGATTCTGCTACTTTCAAGCACTTCGACAAAATTAAAAAAAAAAAAAAGAAAAATTGCCCAGAAAGTGTTGCTGTCTGCCTATTTATCCACAGCTTAACTTCAGAAGGGTGCTATAAGCATACAAAGTTGTGCAGTCTCGCTGTGATAGCAAAGGACTTGGTAATGGCCAGAGGGGGTACAGAAATATCTTGGGTTCTAATCCCAGATGAGACACTGATTTATTGTGCTGTGTGACCTTGGGCTCCTTGCTGGAACACACATCACTTCAATCTGTTAGCAAATATAAAACACTGGATCTCAACACACCCTGGGCTGTCTAGTGCAACATGTAAGTGCATGGAGGAAACTGCTGTTCCTTCCCAATCCAGGCAATCCTGCTAGCAGTGGCCAACTCCACATACCCCCATCCACACAGTCCTCGCAGCGAGCACTGACAGCCAAGGCAAACCATACTCCGTTCTGGCAGAGCACCTGTGGTTTTGTTTTGCCTCGACCTATCTATTCCAAGCTGGCACACTTCACGGTTAAAAACGGATCAAGGACTTCACTGATTATTGCGGTTCCTGTGGACATTCCTCAGACCCAAAGGGATCCTTGCTCCGAGCGCAGCTTCCGTAAGCTTTTTTGGCCAGGTGTTTGGGAGATGAACCTCTGTGGGCACCAAGATGCTTGTCTACAAATCACAGAGGAAATATAGGCCAGCGAAGAGATGGAAAGCGTTACGTTACATTCTACCACTGTAATGTTTTGTTTCATAAAAGGAATGCAGCAACTATGAAAGACACTGGGCTGGCAGGCAGAGGGACAGAAGTCACCACTCATTGCTTAAAACAGCAAACAGCTCCGCAGTGCATTTTGCCTCCCTGCTCCCGTCCCCATCATGCACTTCGGCTCTGTGCTGCAGAGACATGTCCTGCTCTCCGGGACACGTCCCTGGGCTCCCTGGACAGGCCACTGGTGACAGGACCCGACCAGGTAGCAGCCTCCAGGGACTGACGCAGGTGCTCAACAGCAGCAGCTTCTGCTTGTCAGAATGGAGATCTTCGACTACCTACCCCACCACCCTGTTAACCTCGTATTCACGTAAAATGCTATTTTTATGCCATAAGCATGCCTTGTTGATGCACATACGCACCCCACCACATCTCTGCTATCACAGATCCTAAAAAGGTATACTTTTGAATCCTCCAGCAGGCCGGACGACACAGCACTCCAGACCCTCACGTCCTATCTCGCATCCTCCTCGGCCAGCACGGGACGAGCACCAGAGCACCGGAGCAGCTGCAGCCCCAAAGTACACGCCGGCTCCTGCACTGCACAGGCACAAAGCCGCCAGGCACTGCTCCTCACGCTGCCCTTTGCAGCTAGGTCTGGCTCATCCAGCCGTAACGGCACCCGAGACAGTCATTCACATTCACGGATTCTTTATTGCACCATTCTTTATATTTTTTTAACAATCGGAAATAGGACGACAGGAAATTCTTTTACAGCTCTAGACCTGCCCTGGTCAATACAACTGTTACTGTCTGCACTAAAAAAACGTTCTCAATGCAAGGAGCAAAGCCCAGGTAATAACAATCACATCATGCACTACATGACAAATGGCAGGCAGCCAAAACAGGCTACTTCCCACATCCGCGCTGGACCCACGGATGGAGGAGGGTTGAGCAAGGTGGCGTGAAGCAATTACCAGCCAGCGCCTGGCAGGAAGGTAAAGGGAGGAGAAAACAATGGAAGCATTAAGGGTTCAGGGCACTTCTCGCTGCAGTGGGGAGAAGCAGCACTGGCAACTTTGGCTCTGCTAGGCAGGAGGTCCCGAGTCATGGAGCAAACACCTTCCAGAGACTCCAGTTCAGGGTAAGAAAGACCTTGATTTCTCTTCTCTAATGCACTGGCCTAGCAAGTACTGAGCAGGATGGCATGCCGAGGTTCATCTGGCAAGGGCATTTTGGGGGAAGGGGAAATAGCCCTGTCCTGGGCTTTACAAGTCTTACCGAACAGGGGCCAGATTTTCTAAAGAGCTTAGTGCATCACGTGCACCCTGGGAGGAGATTCCTCTTGCAGAGCAGGCTGTCATGGACAGTCTGTAGGGGAGAAACGCTGACTGACAGCTCACCCACGCAGACATTTGGGAGCAGATGCCAGCTCACGGGTGATGGTGGTGCAGTCTTGCATGCAAGATGTGCAAGTAGGCAGGTCCTGCATGAGGTCACAGCAGCAGGACAGGGCAACGTCTGTTTTTCAGCAGGTCTCTTCACGCAGCACACACCCAGAAGCTCAATTCAGGGCACCTTGGGGCAGGGTGGCTTTTAAAATGATTCCCATAAATTTCCCCCAACAGCTACCCTGCCACCAGAGCTTGGGCCGGTGGGATGTCCTTTCTCTCTTTGCCCTGGTTTGGGGAAGACGGACCTGTTCTGGCTGCCAGGTAAGGCAGTGCTGCCACGAAGGGCTGTATGGCACAACCGCTGCCTCCTGAAGCTCACACCCTTACCTACAGCAGGGCAGAGAGCTGCACCAGTGCAACGCATGATCCCAAGGAAAGATTTCCCTGGCAGGATCCACACAAGGACTCCAGAGCAAGGTCCTGGCAGAAGCCTTGCCACAAGGAGGAGGTGAGCAGTTATTCTGGAGCCAGACTGCCCGAGAAATATATCATTGTTAAGTGCAAGCAAAAAAACCAAAGGGCCACCGCTGGAATAAATACGCTTCTCAACAAGTACAGCAATATCCACACTGAGCTGCAGATTTCCAGTCTTCTTCACTTGCCCCTCAGGGGGCAAGTTGTCTCGAAGACAACTAATCACCAGCCCCAACCACCCTCGCACGGTGCCTGCCGGACCCCTGCAAGGGCCTGAGCTAGGCAGCAGGCGGCCAAGGAGTGAAACGGCTTCAGAAAGACCCAGTGGAAGAGACCCAGACCCCCAGCTCATCGGCACGTGGATACAGAGCCCGCTCGGCAGCCCCCGGGAGTGGGAGCCAGGGAGCGCAGAGATGCGGAAAAGCGGAGAGCTCGACCTGAAATGCCGGCGCTGCCCCAATTCCCAGGGACGAGTGCGGTATAGCACCGACCCGGGGCACGAGCAGCGCTGC